GAATACGACGATATAGGAATGAGGATTATTCATAAGGACAAGAAATTCAACTTTCAAAGCTTAATCTATTACTTTTATATTTAAGAAATTTTATATAGTGTTTAATTAAGTTTTGCTATAATAGATTTTGCATCCCTTTCTATTCCCCTAAATCTATGGCGCAGTATTAGTTTGATGTCGTCGGAAAGCATTCCCGATCTTGTTCTGGATGAACCTATAATTTCCAGAGTTCCTGTCACTATAATAACAGGTTATTTAGGTATCTTATATTTTATTGTTATATTTAAATATAGGAGCCGGTAAAACTACATTATTAAGCTGTATATTAAACGAAAAGCATGGTAAGAGGATAGCGGTCATCCTGAACGACTTTGGCGAAGGCTCCGCATTCGAGTCTCATATTTCACTGAAGCAAAATACAGGAGAATTATTTGAAGATTGGTTGGAGCTGCGAAATGGCTGTCTATGCTGCTCACTTAAAGATCCAGGCGTAAAAGCTATCGAAAACCTAATGAAAAAGAAGGGCCTGTTCGATTATATACTCCTAGAAACTACTGGCCTTGCTGATCCGGGTCCTATTGCTTCTCTATTTTGGATGGATGAAAGCCTTTGCAGCCAGATTTATTTGGACGGAATAGTCGCCGTTGTTGATGGAAAATATTGCATTTCGCAGCTTGACAGCCCCAAAGAAGATTTGATTAACGAATGCGAACGGTAATATAATATTTAGGTTAATTTTCAGACAAATTGCTTTGGCTGATGTGATAATATTGAATAAAATTGATCTTATACCTGATTCGCACAAGGTCGAACTTACTCGCAGAGTCCGGTAACTTGAATAGAACTCTTTGACTTTTTCTACAGTGGCATTAACAGCGCCTCAAAAATATTGCACGCCTCGTTTTCACGGTAATTTTTATCCTGTCTATTAAATTTTTTGCGAGTATAATTATTATAAACACTGCTTACTAAATCTTCACCTGAATGACATTTTAGAGAAATCATATTTATTTCTTCCTCTTATTCGTATTTTTATTTGATAAACCTAATTTTTTGATTAATAGCTATTGCATCTTGCATAATTTAGCTTTTATTGTATGTATTCGGTCACATCTCATTAATCTGCATCATGCTAACCGAATTTTAAATATATATGCTACGATTTCGCGAGACCTATCATGCACAGTTAAGTTAAGGACTCTTTATTTAATAGAATAATTCCAATGGTTCCCCTTATCCTTCGCTCATTTACGCTTTATCTTTAACTAGGATCAGGACCCAGTGTTGTCTTTTTCAATATTCCGGTTGATCTATATAATATTGTCTCATTATATCTTCAGTTTAATAACCTAATTTCATTTTTATTTATACTTATATTTATACGGATTAATAATGACCTAACTATGTTTTTTTCATTATAATATCATTTACATTTA